AGTTCTTCTTCTCACCCTCTATCTCAGATTAAGGTGAAGAAGCACAGGTATAGAATAGGTGATACCTGGCTCAACAGTAGCAAATATGAGAGGGATCTACAGTAGGTGTCCTAGTGGACCACCACTTAAGCATGAGCCAGCAGTATGCTGCAGCTGCCAAAAAAGCCAATGCAGTCCTGGGCTGCATCAACCAGAGAGATAGCATCAAAATCATGAGAAGTGCTAGTACTGCTTTATACTGCACTAGCAAGGCCACACTTGGAATACTGCATCCAGTTCTGATCACCATGATACAAGTAAGATGTTGAAACCCTAGAAAGAGTGCAGAGAAGAGCAACAAAGATGATAAAGAGTCTGCAAGATAAATCATAAGAAGAATGGTTAAGGGGACTAGGGATGTCTAGCCTAACAAACAGAAGAATTGGGGGGAACATAATAGCTGACTTCCAGCACCTGCCACAGAGAGGGTGGGGGTCCCTTTGAGCCCTATAAGCATCTGTAGTCAATCTCCTCTTTCCCCTTTCCCTTCAAGAAATTTAGCATCTCTTTCATTCAAGAAGCGCTAGCCGAATGGCATATACAATCCATCTCAGAACAGAGAGACACATATGTTATATATTATGTCATGGCCACATGTATGGGGTTTTATATGACTTCCACCCTTTATTTTCACACAATGTGAAATTTATTTCCTATCTCTTTTCAGTTACAGTAACCACCAGGAGGTAACACATTACCAGTTTCATCTTTACTGGCAATTGTCAGCCAGATGTTATTCTTTGGAGTTCAAATTCTCTAGTGGGAATTGAATTCATGGAATCTCACTTTTTAGGTAAATATATATACAGTACATTAGCTACAGGAGCTATCCAGCTTCTAGTGCTCAGAAATTGTACTTCTCTTTGAAGTTTTCAACCTCAAAGAATAACATCTGGCTACCAAATAAACAATTATCAATAAAGATGCAATTGGTAGCATAAATGCAGCTAAAAATAATCATAATCTTAAAAGCAATCTCTGCATCATTGGCAGCCATATGCAATGAGAGGAGAAAATTCATTTTTGACATCAATAACACATTACATGTATAGAATAATTTTAGAGCATTTATAATCATCACCAAAATACTACACTATGCAAAACAGATCATTGTAAATTTTAAGAAGAGGAATTATGATCAAACGGTAGCAGAGGATAGTCAAAGGCTCAGATTTGAAACAGGGATTTTCCAGGTCATGCACTTAATTTAAATCTATACCATTATTCTGTGTACTTAGAGAACACTTCATGAACAATAACAAGTAATAAGATAACAAGTTTAACAAGTCAGCGAATAAACTATCCTGACAATAAAGCGTGGCTAAAGGAAAAATCAGTGAAAAATGAAGATGGGATTGTTTCTTTTGACTTCAAGGATTCTTCTCAGCAAATGCAGAAAACAGCTCCTATTTAACAGACCTTTTCCCTTGCAAATAATGCCTCAGTTTAAAGATAAATTAAAAAATAGTATTCACAATCTTCATTTACTTTTGTGACTTCTAGTTTCCCCTGATACCTTATACAAATTTCATTTGAGCAACTTTCAGCAGAAGCCCTGTGGCGCCACCTGCAGGATAGTTCAAAATTTTGTTGTTAGTTGCGAAGTCGTGTCCGACCCATCGCGACCCCATGGACAACTTTCCTCCAGGTTTTCCTGTCCTCTACCATCTTCTGGAGTCCATTTAAATTCATACCTACTGCTTCAGTGACTCCATCCAGCCACCTCATTCTCTGTCGTCCCCTTCTTCTATTGCCCTCAGTCTTTCCCAGCATTAGGCTCTTCTCCGGTGAGTCCTTCCTTCTCATTAGGTGGCCAAAGTATTTGAGTTTCAACTTCAGGATCTGGCCTTCTAAAGAGCAGTCGGGGTTGATCTCTTCTAGGACTGACCGGTTTGAATGCCTTGCAGTCCAAAGGACTCGCAGGAGTCTTCTCCAGCACCATAGTTCAAAGGCCTCAATTCTTTGTCGCTCAGCTTTTCTTATGGTCCAACTTTCACATCCATACATTGCAACTGGAAAAACCATGGCCTTGACTATACGCACTTTTGTTGGCAGGGTGATGTTTCTGCTTTTTAGTATGCTGTTCTAGATTTGCCATAGCTTTCCTTTCCAGGAGCAAGAGTCTTTTAATTTCTTGGCTGCAGTCCCCATCTGCAGTGATCTTGGAGCCCAGGAAAATAAAATCTGTCACTACCTCCATTTCTTCCCCATCTATTTGCCAGGAATTGAGAGGGCCGGATGCCATGATTTTGGTTTTCTTAATGTTGAGTTTCAAGCCAACTTTGTACTAGTTCAAAATAGGGTTCTGTAAAGCAGAGGTCCCCAACCTTTTGGACACCAGGGACGTAGAGAAAGGTTTTTCCATGGACTGGAGAGTGCATGGTTTTATGTGCTGCCTGCATCCCACGGATGGGGCTTTGCTTGTTTGTGTGAACCGGTTGCTGGCATGTTGTGGCCCGGTACCAGTCCACGGACCAGGGGTTGGGGACCCCTGCTATAAAGTACAGTATATGATTTTTCTTGAGAAATATTCTCCTACTGAGAAAATGTATAAAACATGTTAGAAATATGGAATCAAATGTAATTACACAATGTAATATACACCATTATAACTCAGTCTAGAGATACTGTGTGTTGCAATTTTTGAGGAGGATTAAGTGTTGGAGTTCTTTGAAACTGTATTTTTCCTTCTAAAATAATATACAATCCTGTTTGGCCATTCGCTAGCAGCAAAATTATTAAATGAGTTCTCACTATATGGGTAATATATTTCTTTCATACTCACTGAAATAATTTGAAATAAACTTTATATGTATATAAAGGCCCCATAACTTAAAATTACAATTGTTTTCAGATTATGATAAAAGTGCAACCAAACAATGCAATATTGGACAATTTTTTTAACTTAGGAAAAAATAGACTTTAGGCCTATCTTTTTGGGGCAGGGACATATTTGAAATTTTGAAATCATGTAATAAGCAGACTCACAGCATTACTAAATGAGACCTGCCTGCTTACAGAATGGCTGCAGTCATCCATAGTAAGCATTATCACTTACATAGTAAGCATTATCACTTACAAAATCACTTAAACTTCAGGCTCAATAGAAAAAAAACAATAGAATGCTAAAAGATGCCAATAGAGCCATCACAATAATTTCTACTACCCTGATAACTCAAACCAATAAACTGATATATGCTACAGCTTTTGCAATCAGATGCAGTATACAGATAATCCTTCACTCACAACCACAACTGAGCGCAGAATTTCCACTGCTAAGCAAGACAGTTGTTAAGTTTTGCCCCAATTTACAACCTTTCTTGCCACAGTTGTTAAGTGAAACACTGCAGTTGTTAAGTTAGTAACACAGTTATTAAGTGAATTGGGCTTCCCCACTGGCTTTGTCGAAAGGTCGCAAAAGGTGATCATATGACCCCAGGACCTTGCAACTGTCATAAATACATTCTAGTTGCCAGGAGTCCAAACTCTGATCATGTGACCATGGGAATGTTGCAACAGTCGTAAATCTGAAAAGTCATAAGTCATTTTTTTCAATGCCATTGTAACTTTGAACGTCACTAAACTACACTTAGTATCTAGTGTAGGTATATACATATATTATATATAGCATGTTTATATGTGTGTTATGTATGTGCAGTGCTTTTTTTCCAAAAAAAAAAAAGGTGCCGGAACTCACACACATCATACAACCCGCCTTGCCTACCCTACAAGGTTCCATCCAAACAAGGTGCCAGAGAAAGGTGTCTATGAGAAAAAAAGCCCTGTGTATGTGTACACTTTTGAGAACAAGCAACAGAATTTCATTTTTAATGTGTGCCAGCGTGCCCCCAGTTAAAAATGACAATAAAGATTATCTTATCTTGCCTACTCTCCATCCTTGTCCCATACAGTACATTTGTTCCTACAAGAAATTTGCCTGTCAGATTACATGGACGGGGAAAAAGTCCACAAGTCAAACACCCCAGTGATCTTATTTAAGCAGTGTGTTGTCCAACCTTGGCAATGCTGGGAGAATTCCGCCGCGCCCTAAAGACATGGCTTTTCCAACAAGCGGGATTGGCCTAGGGAATTTTAGTGGGGTTTTTAAGGGTAATTTTAACGACTAGGCCTTTACAAATATTTTCTTTTAATCTGGTTTTAATATTGATATTTGTTGTAATGTTGTTTTATAAGGCTGTCAGCCGCCCTGAGTCCGGTGAGGAGAAGGGCGGGATACAAATCAAATAAATAAATAAATAAATAAAATAAATTGAGGGAGCTGAAAATCCACACCTCTTAAAAGGGCCAAGGTTGAAAACCGCCCTTCTAACTTATCAAAGCGTGCTTCTGCTTTTCCAAAGACAAACTGAGCTTCAGCCGTTCCATCCAATTCAGTGTTTCTCAACCTTGACAATTTTAAGGCATGTGGACTTCAACTCCCAGAATTCCACAGCCAGCAATGCTGGCTGTGGAATTCTGGGAGTTGAAGTCCACATGCCTTAAAATTGTCAAGGTTGAGAAACACTGAGTCTAACTCCATTCCCGCCGCCAAAGCAGCAGATCGACCTCCGCCGGTCGCAGTCCCAGAAAAGATGCGCGCGCCAATCCTCCCGGGTCGAACTGCTCCTCCTTTCCACCGGCGGCGCTCTCCCGCTTTCAACGTCTCCGCGCACGTGCGCTTTGTTTTGATGACCGCAAGAGACCGATATAGACAGAGACCAAAAAAAAAAAAAAAGAGCCGTTCGCGAGGCGGCGCGACTGCGCATACGGGCAGGCCGCACCCCCTCCCCCCCCGATGAGTGGAGCGAAAAGAGGAGGAGCTACGTGCGCAGGCGTAGAGAGCACATTTCCGTGCGGGAGTTGGGAGGTCCTTGCCCCCCCCCCGTCCTCTCTCCTGGGCGCCTAGGTAGTTAGAGGGGAGGGAAGGGCCAGAGGGGTGGAGCCTCGGGGTGGGACCTGACTGAGACGCGGGCGGCCTCTGTTTCCTGGGCGGCGACGGCGGCGGCGCTCCCGAAATGTCGCAGACGGCCATGTCGGAGACCTACGGTAGGGAGCGGTGGCCTGGGGTTGAGCTTGGAGGGAAGGAAGGAGAGGACCTTGCGGAGGGTCTTGCCTTCTTTGCTACCCAGAGAGCTGCGGCAAGAAAGCAGCCTGGGAAAAACGGGGCTCCAAGCACTACGTCCAGCGGAAGAAGCTTTCCATTGGCTTTGCCGGGGATGCGCTTTGCGTAATAAAGCCGCCCTTCTGTTTTCTAACGAGCGTAAGGAGCGCTTCCTCCCCGTGATAGGATCGCGCCTGCAGACATGAAAGCCTCGCGCATCTCTTCCCGGGTTTCTCCCCTTTGGAGCAGGATGGGGAAGGGTGTCAGCTCTTCGCTGGTCAGCAAGCAAGGTGGGGTGGGGGTTTTTTGCTGGTGGAGACCTTGACCGCTTACTTGAAGCTGGGTTTTACAAATACCAGGTAGTCCTTGACTTAAACGATCGCAGTTGAGCCCAACATTTCTGTTGGGAAGTGAGACGTTTGTTAAGTAAATTTGCCCCGTTTTACGACCTTTCATGCCACAGTGGTTAAGTGAGTCACTGCAGGTGATAAGTGAATAACACGGTTGTTAAGTGAATCCAGCCTCCCCATTGATTTTGCTTTGTCAAAAGGTGATCACAGGACACACACCCCCAGACACAGCAATGGTCATAAGTATCAACCAGTTGCCAAGCATCTGAATTTTGATCACATGATCATGAGGATGCTACAAAGGTTGTAAGTGTGAAAAATGGTCATAAGTCACTTTTTTCAGTGCCGTCGTAACTTTGAACGGTCACTAAATGAATTGCTGTAAGTTGAGAACTACCTGTGTGCTTCCTTACATTTTGACCTGTCGGATTTATTCTATCCCCATAGTAGGTTAGTTGCTTTCCACCTTTTCTAACAACCCATGATCCAGTTTCAACCAAGCATGCCTTTCGAAATGAAGTTTACCCGTTGTGGTGGTGTTTTGCTTGCAATCTATCTTGGGTTAGAGAAAGACTGTGAGCCAATAGTATATCTCACCCAGTAGTTGATGCTATCACTACTACTTTAAATGAAAATTGCCACAGTATGGTGGTGGTTTGGGCTTTGCAAAAAATAAGGTTGTGAAATATATTTTGTATTTCTGGATGAAGTAGAAGTTTCCAGCTAATATAACTTAGACTTCCTTTTGCATGTGGCTCCTTAAAAATGCTTAATCCTGTGTGTACAGTAATTGTAGCAATGTAATAAGCTCTGTATTTGTAAAGGAATTTAGAACTGACCTTGTGGAAGATAAGAGAAAGCTATTAAGGGGGAAAGGAAGAAGCTGGCCATTAATGAAGCTTGAAGAAGAAATCAAACAGTTCTGAGGTCGAGGGAGGCCTGAAAAAGCAATTTAAAATAGTTTAGTATAAGATTGGGCACAACAAAATTGGGCAGGCTTTCAAGGTATTGTTATGCTGTCTTGCTACAATAAAGAACATTCCTTGATGCCCTGCCATATTTTTGTTGACTCAAAGAACTGTCTCAAAGAACTGACAATATTGTAAACTTTTACTCAATGTCAGTTTATCTATTCAAGGAAGCCAAAGTACCCCATCCCATAACTTTTCTTAGCAAAGATTTACAATTGTTTTGTGTTGTGATAAGATACAGATCTGACCATTGTATAAGCCCAAATTGTTACATTTGTAAAGGAGTAATTTCTATACCTCATACAAATGGAAAAATAGTTAAATAATATAACAATAGGTTTTTTTAAATGCAGTGTATGAGATGTACTCACAGCATAACAAGCTCAAAATGAAAGAATGCTATGTATAATGAAGAGAATATGAAAACAAGAATAGGGATTGAATATTGTTCAACTTTATCAGGATACAAAAGCCCAACTGTCTGCATAAAATAAATGCCACGTGTTTCAAGTTTACTTCATTCACTTTCCTGAACAAAGCAGTACTGTAGTTTCATTGCTAAGTGCCAGATATTGCCATAGCTCAATCCTCTTGGCAGTTAAAATAAATTGCTTATTTTTCAATCTTCCAAATGTTATCATTCCAAATATTATGTAAAAGTTTGATGGCTATATTTTACTGACTTGTGTTTCTAAAATATATTTATCATGAACATTTGAGCTCTTGGGAAATGAAAATACATTCAGCACACCAAATCATTCTTGTGGATTTTTCCCCAAGTTACAATGTCTTGAAACTCAAAGCGCATTGGTCATTGAGGGGGAAAAATGCCTTTTAGAGCTTTTGAACCATTTAAGCAACTGAGGCAATAAGTTCTGTGAATTGTTTTCTTTGTCAAGAAACCTTATCTATTTTGAAAGGGTATTAGTGAATCCAGTAATTTGTGGAAAATAGTATTTGGTCATGTAGGCCAAATGACATGCAAGAAAGGCTTCTGGCAAGAGTGGCAACAAACATGACAGAAAGAAAGCACACATTCCTTTGCTTGATCTCTGGTGATTTCATGACAGTGAACCCAAGAAAGATCATAAATTAGGGTGCCAAAGTAACTAACTCTGTATGTTTTTAAGATAACCGACTAAAGTCATAAAAAGAATATAAAATAAAGCACAGACTTCAAAATTTAGGGCTGTTATTTTACCTATATTAATTTGCCTTTAAAAAAAATGTGATACAGTCTTTCAGGATGATTCTGCATTAATAAGTAAAGCTAAATTAAGGATTCTTTTAAAAAACAATGCACAGATGCATTCCACATTAAATAGTCCAATAATAATTCATTTGAAATGTTCATAGGTTCTGTAGGATGTTTCTTTTAATGCTGCCAATTCTGATTTTTATTTTTATTTTTTGAGCAAATTTTGTCAGAGAATTTTTCAAGCAGGTCTAGTAATCAAATCTTACTAAATAAGTTTTCTAGTAAAAATTATCTGAGTATTTCCATTGGTGAACATTAATTTCATTAAAAGCAGGAAACAATAGTTTTGTGTTTCATAACTTTATTCCTTCCGTTAAATATACATGTGTATTGTATACCTAAACTTGGTGTGAATTTGATTAGTTATTGATTAGTTATTACTAGCATGTTAAAGACCTCCCTCTGAAATTTTGAAACTATCCCATACCTGCTAAAAATGGAAGAAGATTCCAGTTTGATGACAACCTTCCAGTACCTTGCAGACTATGTAATATTTGTGAGATTCTTGTAGGGGCTAAATGCCAATGATCTAAAATAGATCTAAATTGATCTAAAGTTCTTGCATTGATGCGCATAAGTATTCTCCAGATTTCCAAAGTGAAATAGCATCATTCAATTGCCTGCTTTCATTCAGGCTTTCAGACTTCTTTCATTCCTAGTGTTGGATTAATTATAACTATATCTAACAAAACTGAATAAATTTTTAAGACTGTTCCTTTGAGATGCATGAAATAGTTGATAATTTTTGTAAAAATTAGATAGCGAGCAGTTAACAATTTCCAGCCCCTTCTTAATTCACAAAAATGAATTTGCTTGAAACCAGAATAACTATGGCAAGTCTTGATTTTTTTAAAAAAAGCTCTCATTCTGTATAAACCAAAAATGTAATAAACACATGCAACAAATGAAAATCAACTTTCTCCATCTTCATACCAATTCATATGACCCAATTACATGTTTCAACATTTCAGTGGTTTTAATAGAGGAAGTTCACTGTATACAAGATTGTTATCTAAATAAGGCAACAACTAATTTTTACAATAACTTAATATATTAGCTCTTTAAAATGAGAAATAGCAAAGTAAGTTTATAATCAAGATGGGAGAATGTATTTTTTTTTTAAAAAAAAACCCTCTACCTCCATTAATTTTTAGACCCATACAAATATAATTTTATACCAAGCTTTTGATTGATTATATTCCATCAACTGTTGACTCTTAGTGACTAGGTAGATTTTGTTCATGAGGATCTTTTCCTAACCTAGTCCTTAGGTCTTCCAACAATCCACTGAACACCTCTGTAATTGAGTCCATTTTGCTGCTGTTTGTCCTTGTGTTAAAATATGTACTTGAGTGGTGTAATATCTGTTGAATATAAATATTGATTATTTCTGTTACAACGTCTTATACTCNTAACAATAACATAATCATACTCTAATTAACATTAATCAACTATTAAAATAACATATCTATAACTTCCTTTAACTCTTTTAAACAGATATACAATTATTAAAAACAATAATAATAACAACACTTTAATAATTAAAAATAATACTAAATAAAATATTCTAGCCTTTGTACAACAATAATACTCTAAAATTCACTCAAAACCCAAATGATATTTTTTAGTCCCATATTTACACTCAATATAATCTATCCATCTTCTCTAAACCAAAATATATTTTTCTTGGAAATGATCCTTCACATAAGCGGAAATCTTGGCCATTTCTGCTAAATTCGAAACTTTAAGTGACCATTAGCATCTGAATTTTGATCACATGATCATGAGGATGCTACAAAGGTTGTAAGTGTGAAAATGGTCATAAGTCACTTTTCAGTGCCGTTGTAACTTTGAACTGTCACTAAATGAATTGCTGTAAGTTGAGAGCTACCGGTGTGCTTCCTTACATTTTGACCTGTCGGATTTATTCTATCCCCATAGTAGGTTAGTTGCTTTCCACCTTTTCTAATAACCCATGATCCAGTTTCAACCAAGCATGCCTTTCGAAATGAAGTTTACCCGTTGTGGTGGTGTTTTGCTTGCAATCTATCTTGGGTTAGAGGAAGACTGTGAGCCAATAGTATATCTCACCCAGTAGTTGATGCTATCACTACTACTTTAAATGAAAATTGCCACAGTATTGTGGTGGTTTGGGCTTTGCAAAAAATAAGGTTGTGAAATATATTTTGTATTTCTGGATGAAGTAGAAGTTTCCAGCTAATATAACTTAGACTTCCTTTTGCATGTGGCTCCTTAAAAATGCTTAATCCTGTGTGTACAGTAATTGTAGCAATGTAATAAGCTCTGTATTTGTAAAGGAATTTAGAGCTGACCTTGTGGAAGATAAGAGAAAGCTATTAAGGGGGAAAGGAAGAAGCTGGCCATTAATGAAGCTTGAAGAAGAAATCAAACAGTTCTGAGGTCGAGGGAGGCCTGAAAAAGCAATTTAAAATAGTTTAGTATAAGATGGGGCACAACAAAATTGGGCAGGCTTTCAAGGTATTGTTATGCTGTCTTGCTACAATAAAGAACATTCCTTGAAGCCCTGCCATATTTTTTGTTGACTCAAAGAACTGACAATATTGTAAACTTTTACTCAGTGTCAGTTTATCTATTCAAGGAAGCCAAAGTACCCCATCCCATAACTTTTCTTAGCAAAGATTTACAATTGTTTTGTGTTGTGATAAGATACAGATCTGACCATTGTATAAGCCCAAATTGTTACATTTGTAAAGGAGTAATTTCTATACCTCATACAAATGGAAAAATAGTTAAATAATATAACAATAGGTTTTTTTTAAAATGCAGTGTATGAGATGTACTCACAGCATAACAAGCTCAAAATGAAAGAATGCTATGTATAATGAAGAGAATATGAAAACAAGAATAGGAATTGAATATTGTTCAACTTTATCAGGATACAAAAGCCCAACTGTCTGCATAAAATAAATGCCACGTGTTTCAAGTTTACTTCATTCACTTTCCTGAACAAAGCAGTACTGTAGTTTCATTGCTAAGTGCCAGATATTGCCATAGCTCAATCCTCTTGGCAGTTAAAATAAATTGCTTATTTTTCAATCTTCCAAATGTTATCATTCCAAATATTATGTAAAAGTTTGATGCCTATATTTTACTGACTGTGTTTCTAAAATATATTTATCATGAACATTTGAGCTCTTGGGAAATGAAAATACATTCAGCACACAAAATCGTTCTTGTGGATTTTTCCCCAAGTTAACAATGTGTTGAAACTCAAAGCGCATTGGTCATTGAGGGGGAAAAATGCCTTTTAGAGCTTTTTCCCCCATCTGGTTGAACCTTTTGAGCAACTGAGGCAATAAGTTCTGTGAATTGTTTTCTTTGTCAAGAAACCTTATCTATTTTGAAAAGGGTATTAGTGAATCCAGTAATTTGTGGAAAATAGTATTTGGTCATGTAGGCCAAATGACATGCAAGAAAGGCTTCTGGCAAGAGTGGCAACAAACATGACAGAAAGAAAGCACACATTCCTTTGCTTGATCTCTGGTGATTTCATGACAGTGAACCCAAGAAAGATCATAAATTAGGGTGCCAAAGTAACTAACTCTCTGTATGTTTTTAAGATAACCGACTAAAGTCATAAAAAGAATATAAAATAAAGCACAGACTTCAAAATTTAGGGCTGTTATTTTACCTATATTAATTTGCCTTTAAAAAAAATGTGATACAGTCTTTCAGGATGATTCTGCATTAATAAGTAAAGCTAAATTAAGGATTCTTTTAAAAAACAATGCACAGATGCATTCCACATTAAATAGTCCAATAATAATTCATTTGAAATGTTCATACGTTCTGTAGGATGTTTCTTTTTATGCTGCCAATTCTGATTTTTATTTTTTTTGAGCAAATTTTGTCAGAGAATTTTTCAAGCAGGTCTAGTGATCAAATCTTACTAAATAAGTTTTCTAGTAAAAATTATTCGAGTATTTCCATTGGTGAACATTAATTTCATTAAAAGCAGGAAACAATAGTTTTGTGTTTCATAACTTTATTCCTTCCGTTAAATATATGTGTGTATTGTATACCTAAACTTGGTGTGAATTTTATTAGTTATTGATTAGTTATTACTATCATGTTAAAGACCTCCCTCTGAAATTTTGAAACTATCCCATACCTGCTAAAAATGGAAGAACATTCCAGTTTGATGACAACCTTCCAGTACCTTGCAGACTATGTAATATTTGTGAGATTCTTGTAGGGGCTAAACGCCAATGATCTAAAATAGATCTAAATTGATCTAAAGTTCTTGCATTGATGCACATAAGAATTCTCCAGATTTCCAAAGCGAAATAGCATCATTCAATTGCCTGCTTTCATTCAGGCTTTCAGACTTCTTTCATTCCTAGTGTTGGATTAATTATAACTATATCTAACAAAACTGAATAAATTTTTAAGACTGTTCCTTTGAGATGTATGAAATAGTTGATAATTTTTGTAAAAATTAGATAGCGAGCAGTTAACAATTTCCAGCCCCTTCTTAATTCACAAAAATGAATTTGCTTGAAACCAGAATAACTATGGCAAGTCTTGATTTTTTTAAAAAAGCTCTCATTCTGTATAAACCAAAAATGTAATAAACACATGCAACAAATAAAAATCAACTTTCTCCATCTTTATACCAATTCATATGACCCAATTACATGTTTCAACATTTCAGTGGTTTTAATAGAGGAAGTTCACTGTAGACAAGATTGTTATCTAAATAAGGCAACAACTAATTTTGACAATAACTTAATATATTAGCTCTTTAAAATGAGAAATAGCAAAGTAAGTTTATAATCAGGATGGGAGAATGTTTTTTTTTTTAAAAAAAACCCTCTACCTCCATTAATTTTTAGACCCATACAAATATAATTTTATACCAAGCTTTTGATTGATTATATGCCATCAACTGTCGACTCTTAGTGACTAGGTAGATTTTGTTCATGAGGATCTTTTCCTAACCTAGTCCTTAGGTCTTCCAACAATCCACTGAACACCTCTGTAATTGAGTCCATTTTGCTGCTGTTTGTCCTTGTGTTAAAATATGTACTTGAGTGGTGTAATATCTGTTGAATATAAATATTGATTATTTCTGTTACAACGTCTTATACTCAGCAGTTTTTCTATTCTTGTGATATGTTTTTAAGACAAAAGAAAGTAACAGTTATAGTATGTCTCTATATTTAAAGATACTAATATGGATACTTCTTGTTTACAGATTTCCTGTTTAAGTTTTTGGTCATTGGAAATGCTGGAACTGGCAAATCCTGTTTGCTTCATCAGTTTATTGAGAAGAAATGTAAGTAAAATTGTATTTTTGCAGCCAAATCCTATCCACTTAGGAATGTGTAGGCGATAGTATTTTATTAATCATCACATGATGATATTTCTTAAAAGTATTAATAAAGTATGCCAGAAATCTATGAGCATGGTTGTAGAAGGGTATGATTTATTCCAGTTAGTTTCTTTTTGATTATGTGAGGTCATCCAGAACTCTCCTGTCTTCATTATGAGAGCAGGATGAATGACCCTACAAGTCAAGACAGTCAATCGATGTATATCCAGAGGAATGTATGATAATGCACACATTTCATTTGTATGTCATTGTGACTTGAGTGAAAGCATGATAGAGGTGGTTTTTAGGTTGATTAAATTCAGAAACTTTAAAAACGTCTTAAGACAGGAAAGTCTTAGGCAAGGAAAAGCAAGTGGCAGAAACATTTGAAGAAGATAGTTGTGTTTTGCTGGAGTTTGTGATGATAATAGAAACTAAAACAGTATGTAATGCTCATGACTTGGACTTGAAGAAAGCAAGTAGGTCAGGCAGAGAGAGAGAGATCAACTACTAGTATGGACCTTCATGGCTAATGGCAAACTTGAATTTGGTCTGTTGGACCACATCTTAATACTACAACATATCAGCTTATTTCTGTTTTCAAAACTTGTTAATCTAAGTAAGTTTTAAAAATTCATAAGCATGATTAAAAAAAGATAATAAATAGCAGAAATGATTGTTAGCAAATGTGATAGCTCAGAAAACTCATCAGTATTTGTTTCTTGTAATAAAAACATTTTTCATTTAATAGCCCAAAATTAAAAACACTATTCTATTATGATTGATTACTCAGATTTATTGATAGAATGCTTACAAATTTAATGTCTTACTATTCATGTTTTCTTCTGATTTTTAGTTTTTAATATACTGGCAAAAGAAAGATGTTCTATTTTTTTACAAATTAATAATGGCTTCTGGTTTAAGTTTAATTCAGTTTCCAAGCATCTAATTACTATATAAATCAACAATTTATAATAGTGACTTTGTTAGCATTCCAACCTTTATGTATTTTATATTCTGATAATAGCACAATTTTCATTTGTATAGTTTTTTTTCAATTTTCCATTTATTTCTTTTTCCTGGCTTCAAAAGTTCCATAATGTTTGCATCTGTACACTGACAATGACATAATTTGTTATAACTCTTGCCTTTTAACCAGAGTTGAATACTAATTAAGATGTTTTTTCTGTTATAGTCAAAGATGACTCAAATCACACTATAGGAGTGGAGTTTGGTTCAAAGATAATAAATGTTGGAGGCAAATATGTAAAACTGCAGATATGGGATACAGCTGGACAAGAACGGTTCAGGTATAATTTCCTGTTAAATAAGGAAAAGCAATTCCAAGATATAGGTGTTTTCAGTATTTCTATTAAAGTGAAGGCCATTTTCTTCTTGTAACTTTATTATATTTTTATAGCCAACTAAGCATAGTTGTATTGATAGAACAGTAATGGGAATAGCTTTATGTCTCCTCAGCATGGCTGAATAACACTACAAGATGCTATAACTACAAATGGGGTTCGTAATTTTGTTGCTATTATCTGAGAAATTCTGACCCAGTCCAGCTAGAAGGAAACACATCCAGGAAGTTAATAATGCTCTCATTAGCCAGAGTTCGATATAAGATGGGTGGCCCTCTAAGTGTTTTAAATAAATACATAAATTTAAATGGTGGAGTCCATAAATGTTGAACTGTAGTTTTGTCTTGCAAGTGCAAACCTAAACAAGCACTGTAGTTTGTGCTTGTAAATTTAGCATTGCATAGAACACAAATTTCTCTCCTTTTAAATACTGTGGGGTTTTTTTCTTTACAGATCAGTAACACGAAGCTATTACAGAGGTGCTGCAGGTGCCTTGCTTGTTTATGACATCACCAGGTAAAAGCAAAATAATAGAGAAATCTTTTTCCTTCTGTACAATCATGTCTGATTCTCAGAGACTGCCTGGACAAGTCCTTGCAGGTTTTTGTCACAAGGTTTTTCAGAAGTGGATTGCCATTGTCTCCTTCCTAAGGCTGAAAGTGACTATCCCAAGGTCACCCAGTTGGCTTCATACCCATGATGGGACTAGAATTCACAGTTTCCCAGTTTCTAGCCTGATGCCTTAACCATTACACCAAATTGGCTGTTTTCAGAAAAATCTTAGTCACAGCTAAAATCTGGGTGATCCTTTCATATTCTTCAGGGGATATGGAATTTTCTTATAGCTAATATGTATTCAGCACATAAACTGAACTATCAAGGGAGCAGACACTGCCTCCCTACCTTCTCTCTAAGTTATTTTCACAAATTTCCATAACATAACTTCACTCAAATCTTCTCCCTGCTCCAATGCTTATAACAATCAGTGATACAGGCCCTGGTCTATAATAAGGAAGACTGTTTAAAATCTCCTATGTATGTAACTGCATACAATATATGTATCGATTTGGACAGTTTAGTGAAATAGATAAAACTTCTATAGATTGTGTTTTATTTGTTTCTGAGAACTTTTATTTGATGTGACTTCTCATCAGAAACTTCTTCAGCTGTGTGATCCTAGTTTTACTACAGATGCATCTCAGGATGTTGACTTCCTCCTGGGAACTGAATAGAAAATATACAATCAGGAATCATAGCTGAAAGTATTGGATCAACATTCAGTTACTTGCTTTCTGATCTAGCTCTTCTGGCTATTTTGCTGTTGTCATAGTTTCACTTCCCATAGTGCATTATACCAGGTCTCAGTGTAAGAATGAATATTTTTGCGACGCTGCAGTCTGTCCTCAGTCATAACTGGAAATACTTTTCAGATATATTGTTATTTTGCAATAGCTTCTTTGCAGACTTCTAATCAAGTACAGCAAAATACTTCTGTAAGGGTGTTGTGGGTTATAAATATTAATACAAAGTACTTTATTGTTTGATTTAGTCGAGAAACCTACAACGCGCTTACCAACTGGCTGACAGATGCAAGGATGTTAGCAAGTCAGAATATTGTAATAATATTATGTGGGAACAAGAAAGATCTTGATGGAGATAGGGAAGTCACTTTCCTAGAAGCATCCAGATTTGCTCAAGAAAATGGTAAGTAGTTTTCATGACATCTTATGTTTTCCGGATAACTTGTAGTGAAAATTTCATCCCACAAAAATGTGCAGCGTGAAATGGAAGCTTTAGGAAAGAAATTGTATAAGCTTTTCTTGTTTACTTCTTCCACACGTCGCCTATTTTCAATACTGTTTTCCAGTCTCCTTGAATGTCTTTTGTATTTAAAACAACACAACCAGTCTGAATCATCATATAGGAACATGTTCTTATAGGAATAATTAGATTTGATTACATTATGACATTGTAAGAATAGTCATTTTTGTCCTATTGTTGGATTCCCTTAATGATCAAAGTCAGGGAGGAGGGGGTAAAAGAAAGATCTTAATAAACAACCCTGGATTTCGTCTGCATATACTATACTAACCGATTAGTCATATCCTGATTATATTATATGCTAGTTACCCTATAATTGGACTCTTGATTCAAAGCTATAGCTGAAAGTTCAGGATTGAGAATAGAAATTAAATCTAGTTAGCAGGAGGGTTCTGCAGAGAGAACCACATGACTTGAGAACATTTGTATTCATTGTACTGTTGCTCCCCAACTCTTCACATTGGAAATTTGGAATCAGAGTTGTTCCTGCTGTGCTCCAGTTGATGTTTAGCAAATTCAGTTCTATTTTGACTAGTCATGCCTTCCCAGGTACTAAAAAGGGCCATATTAAGCCAAAGCCACCCTTGAAAGGACTGTAGGTGCTTTATGCAATTTCTTCTCAGTGAGGAAGGAGGAAGCATAGCGCAGCATAATCTGACATTCTTAGAATTTTCATAACAATATTAATTTTAGTACAATTAATCCTAAAACTTGCGATCATAATTGGGCCTGGAATTATAGTTATAAAGCATTGCAGTCATTAAGCTACTCATCACAGGATGGCACCCGATCTTCTGACCTTTTTTTGTGGTGGTCATTAAGCAAGCACAGCGGTCATTAAGCAAATCTGTATTATTCAATGAACATTTTTTTTTGCCAGAAACTGGAAGCAGTGCCAAAACCAGCAAAAAACACCAAAAAACTTCAAAACACAGGGTCATATGACCATGGAACACTGCAGTCAGCCCTAAAGATGAGCTGGTTGCCAAGCACCCAACATGTAATCATGTGACTAGGGGTGGGTACAGCCAGCAGAACTTTAAAAATCAGGTCATTCAGTTCCTTTTGGGGAGGGGTCCTACACAGTCATTAAGTGAGGACTCCCTGTTTATCAGTCTATCAGTCAATTTGTTACGAAGCACAAAGTCATGTCACATAAGATGGGTAATCTTACATAGCAAAGCAGAGCTGCATTTGAATGTTCTCCAGATAGAATGCAAACAAATGCAGCTATTGGCAATGTTGTTATATTTTCTCTAGGGGAAATGTTGTGCTTGCAAGCAGTCCATGCTGGGTATGTGTAAACATGGTTGTCTGTCCTCATGGCTGTATACTGTCTTCCTCATTTTGGTACACAGTATTGTTTCACTTGAAGGTATATTATGTAGTTTAGAATACTGGAACTTCCAGTACATGTGAATCTTGCTGGGAGCAATAAAGCGACAATTTTGGATGGGAGGAGAGCTTTAGAGAGAGGTTCTTGCTCAAGGTCTAGCAACTAGATTTTCCCAGGCTGTGTTCTAGGATCCTCTTATTTGAGAGATGGGAGATATTTTACTGGTTAGAATTTTCTCCTAATTGTTTTCTCCCATATAAGCTGCAGTATTGGATGCTCAATGGGGTTTACTGATAAGTAGATATAGACAGAATTGACTTAGGAATGTATAATAAGAGGAATTGGTAAATCATCTATGGGAAGAATATGATGACATTTATATAAATATGTTGCATTTAAAGCTGAAATACCTTTATTGGGTCATTTTGAACACTGATCAAACACTGATTATTTCATTTTTACTGTTACAGAGCTGATGTTTTTGGAGACAAGTGCATTGACAGGGGAGAATGTTGAAGAAGCCTTTGTACAGTGTGCAAGAAAGATACTTAATAAGATTGAGTCAGGTAATCGTAATCCAAGTTTCAGTTATTAAAATATTTTTACCTAGGATTAAATGACATTTCTGAAATGATAAAGTACTCCTGGATTAAATGTGTTTTCTCTTTGTCATAAAATTCTGTGTCTTATCAAAGAAGTTAAAGAAGATAAGTTTATCCAGCAAATACCTAAACGGTCAAATTTAATGCTTTCTGACCAAGCCATGTTATATTTATTTTCTAGTGCAAAAAGTACAGTACATTTTTATTTATTAGCTTTGTTATTTTTACAAATAATTCAAGACAGCAAACATATTCAGCAAACCTCCCTTCTCCTATTTTCTCCACAACAAATCTGTGAGATGGGTTTGGCTAAGAGAGGGTGTGACTAGCCCAAAGTCACTCAGCTGGCTATCATGGTTAAGGCGGGATTTGAACTCACAGTCTCTCGCTTTCTAGCTTCGTGCCTTAACCACTAGACCAAATTAGCTCTCCTTATATATAGATTCGTTATGTAATCTTGTATAAACGGATTTGTCATAAGAAAGAAAAATCCTTTAGTCAGGATAAATCTATATTTTTTTATATATTGCTGGCACGTTTTCTATGTTACATCTGAAAACATTTAAAACAAGTATTTCTGAACTAACTGTTGTAGAAAACATTAAGATCTTGCGCTAAGGCAAACAATCTCAGATTGTGATCTCCAGCTTTCATTATCATGTGATATCTCTTTTGAGATATCTCTGAACTAAGAGGAAGGAAATCGCTTTTAGTTTGTGTGACAGATCAGGCCAGTGAATATTATTAAACAGTAGTGAACCCCCCCCCCAAAAAAAAATTCCCAATCTCACTAACATAAACTATAATTATAGAGAAAAATGTATTAGTTTTTGTTTTGAAAGTACAAGATTTGTGTGTCATTGCTATGGACATTCTCAATCCTCAAGTATGATGGATGTCGTCATATAATTTAAATTACATTCAAAATGTTTTCTAATCTTGTGTGCAGTTTATGACCATATAAGAAAAAGAAATTGTATTTTGTTTTATCAGGTGAACTGGATCCTGAAAGGATGGGCTCAGGAATTCAATATGGAGATGCTGCTTTGAGACAGCTAAGATCTCCACGGAGAGCACAGGCTCAGAGTGTTCAAGAATGTGGCTGTTAAATGCAAGCAACAAAGACGCTTCTTGTTTTATGAAACAAAAGGTATGTATTACAAAGTTAGTATCACCGTTGTTTCAGTTTAGTACAATAAAAATAGCTTGTCCAACGTTTTTATTATAAATTATAAGCATTCACATACATTTGCTTGCAATGCAGAAATTAATTTCAATGACACTTTTGTAGTTAATACTTCATTGGCACTTTCATATTTCTCTGTATAATTAACTAAAAACAGAAAAATCATCCTTAGCTTAAAAGAGTTGAGATTGAAGTTTCCAAGTCTTTTATTTAGTATGAGTGTAGGTTCCAAAGTTGAGAATAGTCAATTCATAAAAGCTTTGCGCTTACCATTTTAATCTGATTGAGATATAAAGTTGGTGATATTTCAAGTTCATTTTTAGTCTCTTTTCCAATCTTCCATTTAGTTTGTATGTATGTATTCAATCTCTATGACAGCTTATCTTAATCAAGTGACTTTGGGTGGCAAATAATCATAAATCCATTAAAACTATAGATAGATAGATAGATAGATAGATAGATAGATAGATAGATAGATAGATAGATAGATAGATAGATAGATAGATAGATAGATAGATAGATAGATAGATAGATAGATAGATAGATAGATAGATAGATAGATAGATAGATAGATAGATTACTTTTTTGCTGACAAGAGTTAAAGATTTAACTCTTGTCAGCTATTTCAGACTCATTTGTCCTCATCAGCTAGCCACACCCTTTATGGGATTCAAACCAGGGCAGTCTACATGCTAGGCAGTTGTATTAACCACCAGGCCACTGGCTCTCCTCCCCTCTTTGTCAGCCAAGTCAAGGGAGTATATACAGAAAGTTTTTTAGACAGACCGGTCTGATTGATTGCACCTTGGCATTTTGACTGCTATACTGCAGTTCACTTTTTTATAATCTCTTTTGCCTTGCAGCCCCCCAACTAGGGGCATTAAGCAGGCTCAAGTCGCAACTGCGATACATTACAAATTCAGAGGGGAGGAGAGCCGGTGGCCTGGTGGTTAATACAACTGCCTAGCATGTAGACTGCCCTGGTTCAAACCCCCTAAAAGGGTGTGGCTAGCTGATGAGGACAAATGAGTCCGAAATAGCTATACTAGTCTCCCACTTAAATCTTTAACTCTTGTCAGCAAAAAAGAAATCTGAATTTGTAATGTATCGCAGTTGCGACTTGAGCCTGCTTAACGCCCCTAGTTGGGGGGCTGCAAGCCAAAAGAGATTATAAAAAAGTGAACTGCAGTATAGCAGTCAAAATGCCAAGGTGCAATCAATCAGACCAGTCTGTCTGAAAAACTTTCTGTGTGTGTGTGTGTGTGTGTACACATACACTACTTCCCTGAAAGTAAGCCCTAGCTTGATTTTGGGGGGTGGGCCTAATATAAGCCCTATCCTGAAAATAAGCCCTAGTTTTGGGGCGAGGCACACACCTAAAAATCAAGCTAGGGTGAGGGTAAAGATCTGCCCTATGCACCCCACACCCACTTACCGCGCAGCCAGGCCTCTCCTCACCGGCCCACTTCTTCTGAGACGTCTTTTGCAGCCAGGCCTGCATTTCTCAGTCACAGGCTTTTCTTGAAGGCCTGTGCAACCAAGAACCGATATAGATTCAATCCATAGCTTGGTTCTGTAAGACATCTGCAGCCGAGAACCAAGCTAGATTCAATCCATAGCTCAGTTCTCGGCTGCATAGGCCTTCCGGAAAGGTCTGACTACAAAATGCAGGCCGACATGCAGCTGCGCCTTCAGCCCCAGAAGAAGTGGATCTGCTGGGCTGGGCTGTCGGTGCCGGAGGTGAATAAGACACCACCACTACCAAAAATAAGACCTGGTGCCTCTTTTGGAGGGGGGGGGGGAGAAAAAAGACCCGGTCTTATTTTCAGGGAAACACGGGTATTTATGCACATAGGTATATATGTATATGCATATATGTATGTATATACATATATGTATTATTCAATTTCTATGACAGCTTATCTTAAGTGACTTTGGGTGGCAAATAATCATAAATCCATTAAAACCATACACACAGATACATATATACATACATATATATACACACACACACACAAACATATATATATACAGAGAGAGAGAGAGAGAGAGAGAGAGAGAACGTATACATGTAGTGTGTCTTTATACAAACAACTACAAAATCTGTGTTATACTATTAATTAAAAATCCTGTAATTTTATTCAATTTACCTGACTGCTGGCCTACTCTCTTTGAACATTCTGAATATAGTCTTAATATGAAAATAGAATGTAGTAAAAGAGCTTTGTTTTTGTGTTAAAAATAACTTCAGCATTGCAGTTATGATCTGCATTGAAGTATTACTATAAGCTTCTTAACTGAGCAGCTTAGCTTTGTAAAATGTTTATTACCATTTTTCAAAGAATATATCCAAATGGTTGGAAACAATATAACAAATATTTACATAAAATACACTATAATTTAAAAACAGTGATTAATCAACATAAAAGATTTAGTAAGACCACAGTACACATTGTTTCACACAAGGAAGGGTACATGCTTTGTCCCTTGTAGTATTTATTAGATTTTGGTGTCACCTTTTCCTTATCATAATTTCTTCCTGAAAATCTATTTTGATGGGTTGGGTATTAAGTGAAGAAATAATGACCAAAATCATTCAGTGAAATTCATTCACTGTCTTTTGAATTTTTCTTTATTGATTAATGAGCTACACGGCTTATATAATTCAAACATATTTTCAGTAATGCTAAAGGATTATTACCTTGATTTAAAATGCGCTGTTCTTGAAATAATTATTCTTCCCAGAATATTTACATAATCACCTACAGTGATTTTAGGTACGCCTACACATAATATATACATACACATATAAACATTTGACAGTGACTCACATGGAGAATGGCATATTGTCAAAACAAAGCACATAGCACCACCTCCATTTTTTTCTAATTTTAAAGATAAATCTTTAAAATGTTCCCTTTTTGCAGCAATAAGAGAGCGTCACACTTCTTAATATATTTTCAGCTGCTGGAAGTGTGGGATAAGGAGTGGCAAGGCTCACATTTTTCAGGGTTTAAGTATAAATATTTGGTTTTATGACCTCCGTTCCTTTTAGCCTCCTTCCCCAGCTGACCATTATCTTCACTGGCCTCCCCTCTGTTGAGTTCATCATTGCAGCCATGCAAAGGGGAAGGGCTGCAACTCGGGCTAATTGCACCTTTTTGAATCCTCCCCACCTAGCAGCAGCCACCCCCAGACCCACTGTACCTTGCCAGCCCACTCACACACCCTCCCCCACCCAGCAGCAACTACCGACCTGACTGCCAGCCTGCTTGCAAGGTGCCTGGGACTTGCATCTTCCTGTTAGCTTCCCCACCGACTGGTTATTGGAAGCTGGCAGGAAGTAGCAACCTGGCCAGCAATCTTTCCTCTAATAATGGCAAAGGGGGCTATAAGGATTGACATCATAAAGCAATGTGGTCATGTGACATTCAGCTTTACAATAACATTGCTTAGCAATGGAAATTCTGGTCCCAATTTCATTGTTAACCGAGGACTATCTGTACTCGGATTCGTCCATGTAGTAACCAAGAGTTAAAGGGAAAAAAAATAGAAAAAGAAAAAGACCCACCCCACCCCCCAAAAAATGCAATTTACTGCTTAATTTTAGTAGTATAATTTATAGAATCTTTGGGCATTGCAAAAATATGGATTGGAGAATCACATGAGGCTCCAGCTTGCCCACTTAATTTTAGATGGCAAATGCATACATTAAGATCTCTTAACCTTGATTGCACCTGCCAGCTTTCCTCTTTTTTTAAGTACTATATCTAAATTTAAATCTATTAACATTGAAATGCTATTTATTTTTCAGCTCTCCTTTCAAATAATTCATGGAAAAACTGCCGTTGGTGCAAGAATTTGCATTTTTAGAACTCCTTTTTGATTCAACAAAATGGAACATATGGCATTTTTTTAAAAAAAAAAAAAAAAGTACAGTGGAATGGCAGAGCAACACCACAAAAAAGAACATTTGGTAATACAGTGGACAATATTCAGATATAAAATACTTGTACGTAAATACTTTCTGTTACATATTTGTGTTTCTTATTGTTACTTAAAAACACTGGTGTATCACATGTATATACAACATTGTCATTAAATTTCCAAAGCATGATATACTGACATGATATTGCACTAACACTGTTTTTTTTTAATTAACTAAAATTTCAACTCTGGTAGGCATTATCATGTTTCAGGGTTATTTTTGTTTTTTGTTTTTTTTACAAAGGCTTTTATTTATGAGTTGACATCGAAAGCTACTGGCATTGACTGCCAAGTTTTTTATTTGCCACTTTCTACAGGGGCTTACATAAACTATTTTTTGAAAACTGTTAGGTCATATGTTTACTAATCTGCATACTGAAAAGAACTTTTTTTTTTTACTGAAGCGTGATTGTTCTTGTTTCTTGAAATGCTTAAATGTATTCCAGTTTGTCAAATGTAAGCTATAAATACAGTTGTGAATTCAGAGTTTGCTGCTTGTCTGAAGTTGACCGGGGATTTATTTTATTTTTTTTACATTTTAGACTGCAACTAAGAATTGTAGTTTCAGGTAAAAAGATAATGCCGTCCTTTTTTCCCTCCAGAGAAGTGTTTGAAGTTGTCAATCACCATTATCTGATTTTTTTTAAAAAAAAAAAATTAAAATAATTTCTACATATAAGTTTGTTCAGATTATACTCAGTTAAAAATAATGTTAATGAAAAGTAGGATAGTTCCATCTGAAAGAGAATTGCTTTAATACCTATCCCTCTTATAAACTGTAAGTTTGTGGAAGCTTAATCTAGAAATGCAACTGGACTAGACAAAGTTATATATTTCTATGGTAAACCTGCGCAAAGCTCCATCTTCTCATGAAAACCTTTCTGTGCCGCTGAAAGAAAACCATTTTGCTTTCATAGTAGACTAATGGACATCACTTGGGAATATGAATTTTTGACTTTGCTGAAGAGACTATAAAAGTGGCCTCTTTGAATATTCCTAATATATTTGAAGAGCACCATTTTTTGTTTTGGAAACTGAGACAGCATATGAGAATTCTGGATAATTGAAAGCTTTTATGTGGACAAGCAAGGGGGGGAAATCTATTGTTTCCATATCCATTAAAAAAGCAGCTTTTCAGCTGCTTTATACCTGAAGAAGTATAAATATTAGTATTAATATCAGTTAAACCTACTGCCTTAGAGCCAAAATAGATGAATCGACATGAACATTCTTTGTATATTTGAAGTGCAGCCACAATGAGGTGATGAGTGTAATTAAAGCTGCGGGTCATTTTCAGTGGTCACTGGTTAGCCAACAAGGAAAGACCTAAGCACTTTTATCAACTGTTTTGTTTTAAATTTGTTTAATTGAAATATGGGCATGCCTCATCCTAATATCATCCAGGGCATTTTTGTAACAAAAAATAACTTTGGAGGAAAAAACCCTTAGTGAAAGTCCTAACAGCCCATGCAATACAAAATATTTCAAGAGTTGCAAACAAAGTCTAGTAGCCAGACATTAAGACTAAAGTTCATATTAAATAGTTTACTAATCATTATTATTGTTACAAAACTACAAGAAAATTAAACTGAGTACCAAAAGAAGGAATGTGTAGTCAGATTTTGCCTGGTACCTAAAATAAAAGATAGCATAAATTGATCATTGTTAGGGATGCGTTCCATCATTCATATGCATAGATTACCCACCTGTAAAGAAAGTTCTACCTGTCCACCAAATTTATAATCCCTTTGTGATAAAACATGGGTCATGTTTTTTTTTAATGGACATCTGGGTGAAATTGGTTTTGGTCTTTCTTTGTGGTCATGGTGAATTGATTATACGGGTTATACAAGTTAATGTTAAGAATATAAAATGATTTGAGATAAATGGGAATCTTCACTTGTAGCAATTTGTTTTTAAAAAGTCAAAGTCAACAAGAATAAAGTGTACTGATGTTGGCAAATAAATCACATTGCAAGAGTATGTTGCTCTAGAACAAAACCTGACTTCTGATACTTAACAATTGAAAGAAATGGGGAAATTTTTTTACTAGCATGAGTATCTATATTGATGTGTATTGAGTTTATAGCATGAGTATAAACAGCATGGATGTTTTGATAGGCTTTCAAGAAACACTTTTGCCTCTTTTATTGTGGATTTGCTAATGCTTTCTTAAGATGAAAAAGAATCCAAAGAAGCTTGGAGATACTTTCCACCTAAGTGGATCTCCTGGATCCATCTATTATGTATCATTGGCAGTCCTTTCTCTCCTCTCCCCCCCCCCTTTAGAACTATTGTAAAGTAACCTTGGGTTTTAAATTTCAGGGAAGAGCAATACCAGGTCTTGGTCATTCTGAAGCTGTTATTGACATTCTTGTAGTCTTCCTACACATTGCTATTATAGTTTTTTCCTCTGAACTTTCATGTACTTTCATATTTGCTTTAAAACATGTGGAATAAATACAATAAATGTTTTGCTTTGGTCTTAACACTGGGTAACCTAGGAAATGAAGAGTAGAGGAAGATAGTGAAAAAAGGACAAAAAAAAAAAAGCATTGAGGGTTCCTATCATTCCTATGCAGAAATGAATGTCTTTCCTATTGCTAACAGTGTTTGTCATGGAGACCTTGCAGCATCACAATTTGTGCTTACATGCAAGTATGCTATGGGAGGATTCCTCTTTCCTTTTGTTTCTCCCCTCACCCACTTGTGAATCTAAAAGGAGTCATAATTTATGATGGCATTTCACAAACTCTAACTTTTGCTTGCTTAGATAAGAGCTGCTTCTTTGGAGCTAAAGTTAGCTTTGTACCATTAACTGGATACTATAGCTGCAGTTCTTAAAACACTGGTTTTTTTTAGTATTGATATGCTACAGACCTGCTTGTATCAAAATCAGCTGTGCACTGTGTGTTAATCTAAATGTAGAATTGAAAGGAATCTCTAGGGCAAGATAAGATGCAATCCGTTCTTTTTCACATCCACAAATTTTCCCTAAATCTTTCTCATTTTTTTTTTCTTATAGGTAGAATTTTTAGAGAAAAATACTAGCTGGATAAGTATTAAAACTCTCAGGCACTGGGCTTTCCATTGCATATGCTTTTCTTTCTTCCTTTACAAAGTTTATATAGCTGCTTATCTTGAACCAAACTGAACAACTCCCAACCCCAAAATAAAACTCTATCTACAATAAAATTAAAATGTTAACAGCTAAACTTTGTAATGCAGCCCACAACAAATTCATTCCAACAATCTCACCCTGTCCTGGTGCTTGAGGGAAAACTCACATCTTAAGTGCTTTTCAGAAGGTTAAAAGGGTGGTGGCCTGCTGGACTTCACGGGGAAGGGTATTCCATTAAGCAAGAGCTGACATGAAAAAGGTGCACTTTCTAGATCCTATGGCAATATTTAAAGGAAGGGACCGGGAGCGTGCCTACCCTATCTGATCTAGTAAGACAGGAAGAGGTGGTCCTGGAAATAACCCTGGTTTCCTGCCGTATAGGGCTTTAAAGGGAATAATCAGCACTTTGAATTGAACCCAGAAGGAAACTGAGAGCCAGCCAATAATACAAGGCATTTGAAAATCCTATGCTTTCCTTGTAATATGAAATTCACCACTCAAGTTTTAAAAAGGCAGTTTAATTCAGCACCAACTTTCACATACAGGTAGTCCTTGACTTACGGCTGTCTATGCAGTGATCATTCAAAATTACAACAGCACTAAACAAAGGGAATTATGTCCTGTACTTAAAATTGCAGTCAGCGCAGCGCCTCTATAGTCACTGAACAAAATGTGGGTGCTTAGCAATCTGCCCACCCTTATGATTGACCGCAGGGATGCTGCAGCAGCCCCACACCACCAATCACCCTTGGGCCTTCCCCCTATCACTCTTCACTTTATCTTTTCTGAAGATGGCCTTCAGGAAGGGGAACTGCCAAGTCACCACACAGCCTTCCTACGTAGAGGCCATGAGGTGCCATCCTGGAAGCCGGGGCCATTTTGGATCCCAGAATTTTGGCCTCTTCCAAATGGCACCTGCTTCTGGAACGGGAATACTGCAAGTTTTTATTGTGATTCAAGGATGCTGAATTGCTACCTCTGTTAGCTTAGTTCTGGAAGTAAGAACTCCAGGAGTTTCAGCATTATTACATTTATGCTCAAGGCAGAATGTAATCGGCATTTGTGTCTAAAAATAAAAGCACATTTTATAGTATACATAAAAATGCATGGTTTCTAAACTATGAAGATTTTATTGTTCTGCTTAATTTTACAGAAATGTAACATTTCCCTTGTGCAACATATGCATTCACTTCCTATAATTGTACACCCAATTCAATTTTTCTACATTTAATTCCTGTGAAGAGGAATACATAATACATAAGGCTTTATTATATTTATTGAACAACCCCATGCTGGAAATGCAGGTTTCAAATCACAACTTAAGTCCAAGAGCTTTGGCAAACCTGACAGTTATGAAGACAAGTGCAATATCGTACATAATGTCTGTGTGTCATTTGCTATAATTGCAGAGTCCTTGACTTAAAACTTGCATTTATTTAATGACCATTTAAAGTTACAACAGCACTGGAAAAAGTGACTTAACAACTGGTCCTCATGTTTACAACTGTTGCAGCATCCCATAGTCACGTAATCAAAATTCACGCATTGGCAACCAACCTAGATTTATAGTGATTGTAGCATCCAGGAATCGAGTGATCACCATTTATAATTTTCCCAGACAGCTTCTGCAAGCAAAGTTAATAGGAGAAGCCAGATTTGCTTAACAACCGCATTATTCACTTAACAACAGTGATTCAGTTAACAACGATATCAAAAAAGGTGGTAAAATTGAGCAGAACTCACTGAACAAGTGCCTTGCTTAGCTACAGAAATTATGGTGCCAATCATGGTTGTTAAGTTGAGGACTACCTGTACACAGAATGGATCAGTTTTACCAAAGGTTGTCCTTACTAATGTAATTTCTATACTAATTTCAGCTTTTTTGTTAATTCAGAATCCAATCTTGAAGAGTTTTTCTTTTCTTGGTATAGTCACATCATTTCCCTTGGGCAATGCAAGAAAAAATAAGTCTTTGGCACCACTGCATGTTCCTGAAAACTAAATAGGGCAGTTTTGTTTAAAAACTTTCATATGACTGTATGACTTCTGAATGGTCAACCCTACCACGAAAATCAGGTGACTTGATGAATAAATAGAGCTTTAAAGGACTTTTTTCTGTTATTTTAAGAAAAACAATGCTAAATAAAAATAGTACATTCCTGGTTTATTTTAGAAGTCAAAAAAGATAAGATGAGAAGAATGTGGTACAAATACTGAATTCTAACCAATATTTTCTCTTGGCAATTCTGTTGGCAGTTTTGATAAATTGCGTACATAAAGCATAAACTTTCTGAATATTAGATAACTATTAAATTCAGCATATGGCAAAAACTCAATTTAATGGGCTTTGCATGCAATGGACCTCATTTCCTTGGCAATTTGTATAATGTCTTCATGAAAATGATGCAATATTCATCATTTGCATGTTATGCAAATGGTGTCATTTGCATTGTGACAGTTGATGCAATATAACAAATACTGCACTGATATACTTTCTGGAACAAGCTAACATCTTGAATCTGCTAACATCTTGAATCATGCATGCAGCCTATTGTCATTTGGATGCGGATCATTGTTCCTAGTCTGGAAATAAACATGGAACCATTTGATGAAGGTTTATCTGGTCTATTTTACCTCTTAATAGTAGAATAACTTTTCTCATTAAAGTGAAATGAACCTACTAGTTAAAGGAGAACTGGGTGAAAAAAGGAGAACTGGGTGAAAAAAGAGAGGTGTCTAATCTCTAAAATTTCTGAAACCTTTCACATTTTTTCTCAAACATAGTTGACTTCTTACATATAATTTAAATACAGCCATGTGATTTGTCTGAATTTTTCAAATCATTTTTATTCCCATATTCAAAATCATGTGAGTACAGTTACATTTAAAGACCACAAAAATATGAGAAACACATACCATTTAGAAACATTCTAAATCACATACTGCTCCAAGCTTAATTTTTTCAGGCTTTAAAGTGATTTCAGTGCTCCCAATAATTGAGAAAATATATATGGTACCTCTGATTTCTAACCTTTTTACCCCTCCATTCTTTTTAAATTGATTGTATATAGGAACAGTGACTATTAAATTTATGGCTTTCGATGAAAATGCCTTCCCTTTGATCAGCAGGTCCTAGGGCTCAGTAATTCCACCCAGCTACAAACTGTAGTTTGACTTTAAGCTATGCTTCTTGAAGAACTATGTTGTTATCCCTGTTAACCCTCAAGTCATAAACTGATAAAGCCCCATATAAGATTCCTCCCAAAGTTGATGGGAAAGAAGTAATGCCAGTACAATGTATGCTCTACTTCCACGAGCCAATACAGAACATTTTATCTCTGGCATGGTTACTCTAGGTGCACTTAAGAAAAAAATGTACAGCTCATCTTTAATGCCATTCTGGAATAAAGATTTCAGTTGATGTCTATAGTTCACTTTAAATGCATTTACTGTTTAAGATTAGTGATTTCCATGTGAAACAGGCACCACTGCTAGGGGTGGGGAGAATGCACCTAGCAAGGATTTTGTAGCAGTTTTTAGGGAAATGGCTATATTTCAAGCAGCAGGGATATTGTGATACATCCCGTTATTTTTCTGCTGGTATTAAGGTTGACACAAGAGGAAACTTCTCGATACCTAAAATCTACTTAATTTATACTGTATTTTAACCAACACTAATGTTAGTGTTCTAGTCTATATGTTCATATTTATATATTATGGCTTACCAGAGCATAAGTGATAAATATAGATTTCACATGAGAAGCTTGAGGGAAAAAGCAACTTTAATTTATTAAAGACATTCACTTGTTACTATAGTAAAGAGAGAGAAAGAAAAAGAAGCATTCATTAGTGATCATTTGTTCCAGTTAGGAAGACTTCTTTCTTCAAAAGTGAGTAAGAAATGCATTAAATAAAAGAATAATTGTTCAACTGAGATATGGGAAAATATTTGAACAAAGGTACATACAGAGGCAAATATCTACAGTGCACATTATGTTAAAGTACACATCAGTTGGAATAGTTGATATATACACTAAAGTGCCATTTGCAAGTTCATGCATTTGTCAACTGAAAGCTGCACAGACCCACTGTTTGGAAGAACCACAATTGCATAAATCAGCATTTAGATAAAGAGACTTACACACTTCATTTTATGACTGTGTTCTCATACTGAAACTTATTAAACAAAAATAATCCATCTAATCAGCAGATTGAAACCGTGTTCAGCCAGGCGCTTGTTCTATTTCTCCAAATATTTTTTTCCCTTCTGTTCCAACTTCTCCCTAATCAGGAGTGTATAGTTACAGTACATATTCTATTCTCAAAAAGCTGGTATTGAAGGTGCCCTTTGGGGTGTGGGTTTTGTACTTTTTCAAGCCCTAGGATTTTCTTGACATTTTCTAGCTTCCCTCTGGTGCATACGAGTGATAGTCATTTTATGCTGAAGCCACGTATTGTTCAAATTCATTAATTTGATACACTGAAGATTGAGGAAACAAACTACCATTCAAAAAAAAAGTTCAATTACATATATCTATAGATGGAAATAAAGCCACTACATGCAACTATAGAAGAGGTAAAATAACACTTGTAATACAGTAGTTGAATTGTTGGAGTGGAAATCAGTTTCACTTTCCGCAACACTGGAAGCTCACTAGATAACTTTGGATCTGTTGGGGGGGGGGGGGTCTCAGCCCCTCATCCATAGGATAATTTGCAGGAAAAATGGAAAGCCAATGCAATGAATGCAGGTTTTTTTCTTGGCTCCTGGAAAGACAGTATCTAAATGTAATGAATATATCCTATTCTTCAGAATGAAGTTTGTTCTGCACAAAAATGAGTTGAAAAATGAGTTAGTTACGGTCTTACTGTTGGTGATTAATGACAGGTTTTACAAAGATCTGTACTTGATGTATCTTTAAATCCAATTTTTTTTCAAGATCTGAAGAAACAATTACTGAGACTGAAAAATCTTTTATTTCAAATTTAAAAATCACAAGTAGTTTCATTCTGTGGTACAATCTTTCAAGTATGTTGCACTTTCATGATTGCCAATGGCTTCTTCCTGTATAGAAAAATCACTTTAAAAAAACCAGAAATGTGTGATACATTGGAGCACAGTAAAATGTGCAATGTCACCTGAGCCTTGACACAGAATATACCCCAGCTTGATTAAACAGGCAAATGAAACAAATCCAGAATTTTAATGTTATAAAAGTCACTGTGCAGAAGCCTTATCTAACAAAACTGTTCACTGAATGTATTTAAGTCCACTCAAAATGAAATATTTTACTACAAAAAAAAGGTTAAAACCATTTACTTTCTACAAACTACTCATTAGCCCATCACAATTAATGATTGTCTTTATCTGTCATTTGGTACAATGGGTTCATGATAGCAAATGTTCAAAACGACAGTCACAGGATTACTAATCTACTGCACCAAAATGTTCGGTTTTGTATTGTCACAACATCTACAGCAGGAATGCAAACTTCAAAAGTCACTATACATTTATGAAAAGGAGACATTTTTCTGTGTTCTAAAAACACTCCTCTAACATTTCCAGGTATAGGTTTTCCACAGATACCTCTGCAAAAACTCATGTCTTTTAGTCCTCTTTGTGATTTTATTAAGCTGGATAAACGACAACCTCGTTTTGGAAGCTCCAGGGAGGAAACCAATGAGTTGTTTAAGGAATCCAATGGTCAGCTTCCACAAAACATTCTTTACCTGCTTGCTAGTTTGTAAAGTGTGCAGTCCTTTTATAAATTATTGCCAATCAGCTCATATCATAGTTTAATGAGACCTTCATTTGTTCAGAAAGAATCTTTACAAATCAGTTTCTGTCAAGTTTTCATGATTATTTTTACAATAAAACGCACTGACAGTTGGATGCTTTCAATGTAACTCAAGTGCAACCACTTTTCTATTGGCACAGGATTGGTATATTCAGTAACTATAGAGAAGAAAGCCATTTTCAAGAAAATATTGAGTTGCTTTATTTAAAAAAATTATTACTCGATTTTAGTTTTTTTTGGGATGAAGGTCAATTCTTGACATTTTCCTTTAAAAATAAATAAATAAATCTAGTAAGGGACCTATATTGGTAAACAGTTCTCGTCAATATGGATCCCCTTCTGCTGCAAAGGTTAAGTAGTCAAAATATAAATAAATGTAACAAACTGCTGGAAAAAAAACCCGTTTGTAAAAAATGGAAAACCCTTGCATAATAGTCTGGAGTTTTCTACTGGTGTCCTGGTCATTTTCAAAGCACTCTGAATTTTTTTACAAAAAAGTAGAAGTCCCATCACCGAGCTCGTGCTGAGTAACACCTCATGTATTCTGTCATCCATGGATTGTCTGGACCTGAGGGCTTGGTTCTCCATGTTCTTTCTACTTCTGCTGTGTGTATCCGTCTTTGTGGTAGTTTCCTTTTTTCCACTTGTCTTCTGTTCTTTGCTCTTAATGCAGATTCGTGTATCTGCAGAGACAATTTAAAAGTTGGGGGGGGGGAGTTGTAGAAAATACAGCTTTGAAATCACTTGATGAAAGTCACCCTAAAACAGCCTTCTAAATATACTAATTTGGAATGTCAATATATCTGTGTTTTTCAAACTTGACAACTTTAAGATGTGTGGAGTTCAGCTCCCAGAATTCCCAAGCCAGCAATTTCACACATCTTAAAGTTGCCATGTTTGAAAAATACTGCATTATATAGATTCCTTTTATGAACATTTCAGTCATAAGAGGTGGCTTATTAAATTCAACTGTTAGTCCAACCTCATATCATTTGCACAAAATATGGAAAGTACAATGTATTCTGCTTTTGGATTTTGTGAACGATTATCCCTGGAGTTACCAATCAATAGATATTCTGTGCTAGGATTTCTTTTAATGTTTACTAGTACTGCCTGGTTGCTTTATTTTTTATTCATTTTAAACATTTATATAGCCATCTATCTTTCAACCAACTCAACCAATCAAAATAATATGCAATATAATTAAGACTACCGTATCATAAGTAATAATTTTAGCTACATTATGAGAGGACCTAAAGAGGACCTAAAGAGAAAAATAAAAACTATTTATTCCAGAAGTCCAGAAATCACAGAAATAAACATGCTGAATAGATACGTTCCTAAGATAAAGATAAAATTAAAAACCACGATATTAATAGGTGAACTGTGCCTATAAATTAGCATTGGACATACAGACATCTGGATAAAAGCACATAAAATTAAATACATATATTATGAAATAATAGTACTATTCCATTAAAAAATACTGTAGGCTAGGGTACTTGTTTTAGTGCCCTTTTCCTTAAGAAAAACAATGTTCCTTTACTTTAAAAAAAAAAAAGTCTAGGAGGAGATAGTGCAATATCTTTGCTGCTAAACCCAGTATTAACTATTTCTATTTTTAAAAACTCTGCAGAAAATAATGCTGTATTCCTGTAATGCTGTATTACTTGAGTAATGCTGTACTCAAAACTTCATCTCATTACTTTGTGCATGTTCCAACTACTCTTTTCATACACTAGATTCTACTTGTATTATACAGTAAATTTTACTAGTTACAGTGAGGGGGAAAATTATTTGATCCCCTGCTGATTTTGTACGTTTTCCCACTGACAAAGAAATTATCAGTCTATAATTTTAATGATAGGTTTATTTTAACAGAAAGACAGAATAACAATAAAAAACAAATCCAAGAAAACCACATTTCAAAAAATTTATAAATTGATTTGCATTTTAATGAGTGAAATAAGTATTTGATCCCCTGTCAATCAGCAAGATTTCTGGCTCCCAGGTGTCTTTTATACAGGTAATTAGGAGCATTCTATTAAAGGGAGTGCTCCTAATCTCAGCTTGTTACCTGTATAAAAGACACCTGTCCACAGAAGCTATCAATCAATCAGATCCCAAACTGTCCACCATGGCCAAGACCAAAGAGCTGTCCAAGGATGTCAGAGACAAGACTGTAGACCTATGTAAGACTGGAATGGGTTACAAGACTATTGCCAAGCAGCTTGGTGAGAAGGTGACAACAGTTGGTGCGATTATTCGCAAATAGAAGAAACACAAAATAACTGTCAATCTCCCCATCTGAAGTTTGTCAATGAACAGCTGAATGATTCAGAGGAGAACTGGGTGAAAGTGTTGTGGTCAGATAAGACCAAAATCGAACTCTTTGTCATAAACTCAACTCACTGTGTTTGGAGGAGGAGGAATGTTGCCTATGACCCCAAGAACACCATCCTCACCGTCAAACATGGAGGTGGAAACATTATGCTTTGGGGGTGTTTTTCTGCTAAGGAGACAGGACAACTTCACCACATCAAAGCGACAATGGACTTAGTACTTGGTGGCAAAACCCTTGTTGGCAATCACAGAGGTCAGACGTTTCTTGTAGTTGGCCACCGTCAAATCTTGGATGAGAACCTCCTTCCCTCAGCCAGGGCATTGAAAATGGGTCATGGATAGATATTTCATCATGACAATGACCCAAAACACATGGTCAAGGCAACAAAGGAGTGGCTCAAGAAAACGCACATTAAGGTCCTGGAGTGGCCTAGCCAATCTCCAGACCTTAATCCCATAGAAAATCTGTAGAAGAAGCTGAAGGTTCGAGCTGCCAAATGTCAGCTTCAAAACCTTAATGACTTGAAGAGGATCTGCAAAGAGGAATGGGACAAAATCCCTCCTGAGATATGTGTAAACCTGGTGGCCAACTACAAGAAACGTCTGACCTCTGTGATTGACAACAAAGGTTTTGCCACCAAGTACTAAGTCATGTTTTGCGAAGGGGTCAGATACTTATTTCATTAAAATGCAAATCAATTTATAGCTATTTTGAAATGCGTTTTTCTGGATTTCTTTGTTATTCTGTCTCTTACTATTAAAATAAGCCTACCATTAAAATTATAGACTTATCATTTCTTTGTCAGTGGGCAAATGTACAAAAACAGCAGGGGATCAAATAATTTTTTTCCCTCATTGTAGTCCCAAAGGTGCTTTTTCAAAAGGCAACTGGACTGTCCAGTTGCCTTTTGAAAAAGCACCTTTGGGACAACTATGACCTGCATGACTGAGAATCTCCATAAACATATACTAATTAGTATCTTAACACGGAAGATGCTGAAGTACTTCACTAGAATGCCAGGGCTAATTCTGGGTCTACATAAAAGCAAGGAATATAATTTTCACAGTGATCAATATTTTTATATGGCCAAAACTGATTCCTAAATTCCCGATATATCTAAAACTAGTAACAAATTTGCTGGATTCCTTTTATCAATATGAACTGACTTTTCACCAGTGTGGATTTCAATCACCTGTTGATAAATTAAACCAAGAGTTGCAACATTCATGACAACAGAAAGCATGTAAGTCATCTAGGTGTAAAAAAGAAATAGGAGGAGCAGTGATCAACTGGGATCCATGTTCACAAATTGTCTATACATTTAATCCTTAAAGTTGCAGAACTCTGCAGGAGAACAGCTTGCTGTCTGAATCCACCCTGAAGTTCAGATATTATTATCTGGGTACTTGGCTTTCACAGATCAGGAATTGAGGAAGGGGCTTTCCTGCCTTGTATTCAACTTACAACTTCCTTGATAGACTATTTCCCTTGTATAGTATTTACTCTTATTTAAGATTGTCCCTGGATCAAAAACACATACAATGCTTGTTTGTTAAGCTTTTCACATAGTTATGAACATATGGCATGGACATTACTTAAATAAGATCAACTGATATTTTAAGGGTGGGCAAAAGATCTTAGTTATGGATACCTCTGCTTTTATTCAGTCAGTAAGATATTTTAGGGAATATTGTGCATGCTTGGATAATCATATTTCAGCTTAATGTCAAAATATGAATTTCTTCATCCATGTATCTGCTTCTTGGTCTAAGCCAACTACAACCAAGAAGCTCTTCTGTTAAGAGCACTTATTGGCCTATTATTTTCCAAACCAGAAAGCTGTGGTTAATAGCTAAAGAACAAGATAATACAATCAACTCACTTCAATTTCATTTTACATTCCCTTTTCTTTCCAAGCTATTAAGTTTCCTAATTTGGATGAACGTAAAAAAATATCATTATTAGAAGATGTCCTAGCCAGCAGGCTAACTCATAGGAAAGAGCAGAAACAATAAGCTACAGCAGGGGTCCTCAACCTTGGCAACTTCAAACTTGTGGACTTCAACTCCCAGAATTCCTTAGCCAGCAAACCTTTGCTGGCTAAGGAATTCTGGGAGTTGAAGTCCACAAGTCTTCAAGTTGCCAAGGTTGAGGACTCCTGACCTACAGTATTTAATAATTGAACCTATGAAGTTGAAATACGGTTGGCTGAATTCCCACTGTCTTGTACAAATACCTTATCTGTTCAAAAATACTACATGAGAGTACTCCTCTGTCAAACTCCACAGTCTCTCACATTTTCAGAGCAAAAATGGATACCTTTTGATCATTCCTTACCACTAATTTTACTTGAGTAGAAATTGCCATTACATCACATGGATTTGGGGAAATTTGCTCAAGTTATACCTAATCTTTACCTAACATGCTGTTATTAATTTTAGTTGATTAAGCTAGCATAGAGGTTTAATTGATATATAGTTGTTAGGTGTATTTTTTTTCTGTTTCCTTTTCTCCACAATGCTGTCAGAAGTACAGTAACAAACTTAACATTTCACAGAGATGAGCATTATTTTGCAAGAACTTACAGCTTCTCAATGGTACTCAAGTTCCTATCATGGAGGTGTCATCAGTACTTCAATGTTTTGTGCCATTCCTAAACTTGCGCTCATCCTGTCTCATCCTCATCCTGACTGCTGTTTTACATATATCTTAGGCTGATTTTGATAGGGGCTAAGTCATAATTCTAGCATCGAGAGTTCCTTCCACAGCAGAAACTGAAATTGCAGCCAAAAAAATAAAAACAAAACAAACAAGTTTGCATTAAACCAGAATCAACAAGAAACAAGAATTTAGACCTATTTTGTAACCACAGTGTTATGATTAAGCCAGAAATGTTAACAGCCCAAGGAAACAGTCACATCTACAGTGTGACCCTTTTGGGGCAAGATAATGCCTCCCTTATCAAGCACATTAACAGGCTTCTTCCAGATACTGCTTGTAGGTTTCCCATGGGGATTGCCTTGCCACGGGGGGGGGGGGGGGGGAGTGAAATTAGATAGGCTTGGACATGACCCAGAAAGGCTGTTATTTCCAAACTACCCTGGGGAAGGTCTTTTAAAAGGCATCATCATCATCTAAAAATAAATACAGATTTAGATGAAGAAAACCTTTTAGCTCCAAAAACGTTGGAGGTATATCGCCATCATATCATCCTCTTTAAAAATCTATCCTACCCCTTTGAAGGAAAGCAAGTTTGGCACAGGAAATTCTTGCCCCATAACCAAGGCAATAGTTTCTCCATCCTCTATACCCAATTCAATACATTGCTATGGGCCAGGGAAGCGAAGGACTTAATTTTAAGTTGTGGACACTTCAAAAATGGCAGCAGTCTTAACAACAACAAAAATCCAGGCAATCTGATGTTACAAGAATTTCCGGGTCACTTTTCTGAGCCTGGATATTGCAAGCAAACAGGACACAAGGCACGCTGCTGGTGGAAAGGTGGTGATCCATTTATTCCAAAAGCCAAGAAAAAATAGGATACAGAGTGTTTGTTTTATAGGGGGACTGGTCCTTGGTGTGACCTTGGGGGGGAGGTGTGTACATGTGCTGGTTCTAATGTGTGACTCTGTCAAAAGGTCAATTTTAATTGTCCTTCCTGGTGTCTGTTGGCTTGCCTTGTGTTGTGTAGACGGTGTCTGGATAGCCTGTTTGTGGGTGTGAGGAAGTGTGACTGATAGGTTCTTTGGTTAATTACTCTTGTCTAGGTACCATATTTGATTTTGGTATTTGGTTTTGCTATCGTCAGTTGATAGCTTAACAGAGTTGCCATCTAGCAATCTACTGATACAATGTATTTCCCATAGTTTCAGTTACAGTGGATCATAGATTTGTGCCAATGAATAAGGGATAGCAGAGACAGTGAAAAATAAATTTGGAATAAAGAATCTCCTAGGATTATTATTGATTATTAAAATAAAATTATTTTCACACTGGAATAATGGACAAGCAGAAAGGCAACATAGGCCTTGTTACACTAGACAAGTGCATAGGCAGCAAACAAGCAGCTGCATCTAGGTCAAAAGGGCAGGCAAAAACCACATCCCAAAGTGTTTTCCATATCCCAGTATGAATATATTTGACAAAGGTGGCCCTGCTCTTATAAAGCAGGTGTACGAAAGTAGCTTCGGACACAGGGACCTCAATATGAGGGGCACAATCCAAAATTGAGAGCACAGCATCCTAGATATCTTATCCAATAAGTAACACAACAAAAAAAATTAAAAAAAATAAAAGCCAAGTTTACTTCTGACTTCAGCATCCCATAACACAAAGGCAGGGAAGTAGCAAAATGCTAGTTCATCTGGGACCGCAAATACTCTACCTAACACAGGGCTAGCATAAGGCCAAATACCTAGACCAGTGTTTTTCAAACTTGGCACCTTTAAGATGTGTGGACTTCAATTCCCAGAGTCCCACAGCCAGTGTCTTAAAGTTTTAGATTTAGGCAAAACACTTCCTAAAAAGACATACTTCTTTCGCTTACTTCATTTACTGAAGCAGATGCCCGGACGTTGTGTGTCTTCTGACTGCCTGTGTCAGTCTGCTTTTCACCCCAGCCATATAAAGCAAATGGGTGTTTTATTCCCAATGTTGTTTCTGTCCTTTGTGGGCTTTTTGCTCCTCTTCGGTCACCTTGCCTGCCGGAGGCACTCTTCTGACTCAAAGGCTGCTTTTGCGGACAACTTGTTGAACTGCCGATTCCTTTTCCTGCAGTTTTCCTTTCATCTTTCTTGACAACAGCCTTCCCTTTGGATTGTCCTTGACCATCAATCTCTGGGGGGAAAAATGAGAAGTGAATTTTAGCCTGTTCAAACTGCACTCAAGAAATCCCATCTACTTTTGCAGCATAGCTCTTTTGATTGATTTGGAATCGAAGGAAACGGCTCCCTCTTTATAACCATTGCAGACTTAGAATACAAGGTGGACCATTTTAACTCTCTCTTTTGCCACATTTGCACCTTGGGAGAACTAGCTGTTTGTATCCTATCCATTCATTTAATTTCCCTTTCCCAAGGAGACAACAACTTGGTCATCCCTCCCAGTTTCTTTAATTCCCACCATCCCTGTGAGATAGGTTAGTCTGAGAGATATTACTGCCCCCAACCTCATGGGTGAATGGAGATGTGAACCAGAGCTAGATCTGATTCTAAATCAAACAGTAAGGCTGTAGCAGCAAAGAAAGGACATCCAGAAATGGCTATACAATATTCCAGTACTTTCCCCAAGCAGGCAGAAGATCAGGTGGGGTCACAGATTGTCCTGTGTGAGAAAAAAAAGTGTCTTCCATCTTGACTACTGCCACTTGGGGCTGTGTTACAATTCCTACAAAAAAGTCTGAAAATCCTGTTTATTTTTGGCTGGCATCTAAAAGCTTATGCAATTTTTAGAATGCATGCTACCATGGCAATGACTTACATAAGCAGCAAGATGTTTTTCAGTTCGAAAATCACCAATCTTATCTGAGAACCCACTGCACTTGTTGAGTATATGTTGTATAAATGTGATTCTTATTACTGAAAGACTATGAGGAAGGATACATTCTAAGCTAGTATCATATAACATCGTCCTTAAATAATTAGCACAACTATATTGAAATTTGCCCACTGATTAAGTTATTTTGTCTACTGTCATTTATAACCTTATATGTCGTGCAGATCTCATGAAAAGAGAACTGTACTTCAGATCATTAGCATTTTAGTGCCTATTTGTAAAATTGATTTCTATCTGCCAGCAAAATTTGTGTTAGTCTCTCCAATATATTTCCCAAGTGGACTGAAGCTAAACTTTATGTGGACCTATTGCAATAGCTAATATACTGTAAGTCTGAGTGACCCCAAAAATATACCAAATCAATGGAGTGGGATTTCTGTTTATAAGACCAATGAAAGATGTGTTTGAGAACATGGTGAACAATATTAAAGTAGCAGGAGGGCACACTGAATTATTTTAGGGAAAAGAGCCAAGGCATGCATGACACAAAATTGGGATTTCTTAGGGTTTCTTTCCCCTCGGTTTTGAGAGGTTGGTGGAGGAATGTTTATGTATCCAAATTATGTTAAACAAATTTAAGGGCTACAGTTCACTATATTTCCCATCTTAAAAGTAGGAAGTTGTGCTGCCAATTTTGCAAACCAAGAAAATGGTTTCAAAAGCAATTAATTCCCTAGTCAAAGGCATAGTCTGGCATTGTCAGATGCATGAGGTACATAAATTAATGAATACTCAGCTTTTCTGCTAACTTCCTTGAAATTGTCTGTTTCTGTATATGAAATAGATCCTTGGATAGTCATTTGGCCAAGTTTGAAAATAAGATATTTTATTACTATTACTAGTTATTACTATTATTTTCATGATATTAGTATGCTGTATCAGTTTCAAATAGCTGTTATATATTCTGATGAAGCATCTTAGGTTAAAATATATTTCAAATTAATTGCAGGTGATTATTTATGAAATATGTAGTTTCACATTATGATGTATAATTCCAACTATGGGTGTATTAATTGCATTTGTTGTAAGCTGCCCTGAGAAGATTTGTCCTGAAATGGCATTGTAAAACATATAAATGACAGTTCCATCTTCTTTTAAGATTGTCAAATTCTGGAGACTGGAAGTGAACCAAGCTAAGAGTTAGGCACAAGTAAGCCTATTGATCCCAGTACCGATTGCTTTCAAAACCTAATCTGCACCCAGCTTGGATCCAGAGCAGTCAATCTGTTGTGTTAGTATGGTTAGTTTTGTGGCTTAGAGAAAGCAAGGGGCTTACCTTTTATTGTCCTTTAAAGGAAGCTTGTTTTACCACTCATATAAGGCCATTTGACAGTGTTTAATCTACAAAGCACAGAGTAGTTATGCTGAAGAAAGATCTTTAAGTTCAGGGAGATGCTGAAATACATAGCAACAAATACAAGGCCAGAACTGTATACCCACATATTCTCCTTCCACCCAGAGAGAAAGAAATGGATCCTAATTAAAGTTGAAGCTCAAAAAAATGAAAGGGAGGGGGAAGGAAATAAAGTTTAGCAGTTCATCCTTTGGGTGATCAGATCTTTAAACCAGCCGGCCGCCACCTTGCAATAAGGTCACCCAAGCCATATGGATTAAGCTTTCCCACACAACCTGACTGGCAGGCAAGCAAGCTCAACCTTCTCTTTCTGCTCCTCCCACCAGTCGGATTTTTTGCATGCAGGTGGGATGTTGAAGCAACCCTGCGAAAAGGGAGATCCGCCTTCGCCTGTTCCCTGACAGATGGGTTCATTGGGGACACTTGGCCATAATCCGTGCTCAGTGACAACGTCAAGACTGCAGGAGCGCCCGCTGGGTCCCTACGCCTACCGGTTTCCTATCAACAGCCGTTGATAGGGTCAAAGGGGTAAATCAAGGCCAAACCTCCGTGCTCTTAGGGTTTGAGTGGACAGTCCACTTTTTTCGCATGATGTTCACTATTTTTTTTTTCACAAAATAGTGGACATTTTTTTTTATTCAAAAGCTTGATGATGAAATGGTACGTAATCTAAAGCTGTACAGTCTACTTTTTTTTACTACTTAACCACCACCACCACCCCCGCTTGTCCGCTATTTTTTGGAAGCAGACCTGGCAACCCTACGCGCTCCTCGCCAATTCGGTTGATTGAAAAACTCAGCTCCCGCTTCAGAAACAAGACGTCCAGCTCCGCTGCACGAAGGAGACCCCTAGAAGCGAGTCCTCGGCCCGTCTGGCTCCCAGCCCACCTACCCTCCTTCCCATTCACAGCCAAACCGATTGCCGCCGCCGCCGCCTGTCTTCCCGAAGCAAACGGCCTAGCGATCCGCTCAAGGTCATTTCATAGTCCTAAGGAAGGCTCTCTCGCCCCCCCCCCCCCGTTACATCTGAGGAAGCGGAGCTGCTCTGGTGCCCGGTCTATGCACACACAAGCTGCTCTCAGGGAGGAGGGGTAGCGGCGACGAATCGGATACTCTCCAGGGGCGCAGGAGGTGGCATCAGAGCTGTCAAATATCCGGACAAATTGCGTCCGGAAATGTATCTCTTTGCCTATCACATAGACTAGAGCCAAGGTTGCCTACCCTGGGCCACTAGACTAGAGCATTGCACTTGTTTTCTATGTCAGGTCGCGCCCAGCCTGTCTGCAGCTCGCTTCCACCTGCCGCTGCGCTCGGATCCACTGCGTCGGTTGCCCTAGGCAAGTGCCCGAGTTCCTCCAGGGACACCGATCGATTCTGCCGCGGATCACGGCTTTGTTTTTTTTTGTTGTTGTTCTGCTTCCGTTAATGACCGAAGGCCTGGCAGAGAGCCCTGAGCTGCGGGGCCCAAGGCTCAGCCCCACCGCCTCGACCGTATTAACACCACTGAGTCACTCCACGAGACCGTTACTCTACCACCAACCACCCCATCTCGGCCCGTTCTTCATTCCCCAGGCATCGGAGCACATACCGGGTCCGCCGGGGGGCTCCGCCGGCGCCGGACTGGAAGCCTCATCCTCTCCAGGCGCGCCGATCCTGTCGAGACCCAGATCTCCGCCGGGGACTTCGGCTTCTCCTGCAGGACGCGCCGCTTCCTCCTCTGGCTGGCGGACAACTGGAGGGCTGGAAGTGCCCTGGGACGATGGGGAACTGCCGCTGCCGTTCAGGCTGCCGTCCTGTTCCCAATCATCCCAAAACCAAGGCCGATGCGCCTGTTCTAAGAGGCGTCGACTCAGGCGGTAGCGCAGTAACTCCTGGTAGCAGGGGCCGCACGCCTCCCATTTCGGTTCTTTAAAGCACTTCATGTACTCGCTTTTCACGCACCGCGACGGCACCATCGCGAATCGCCTTTCGATCAATCCAAGCTGCTCCGCGGGGTCGCCCTCCAATCGGGGAATTGATCACCGCCGGGGGGGGGGAGAGAGAGAAAAAAAACACTCTTATTTTACGTTCTTCACCCCACCCTCCCGCTGGAACGTTTAAACACAAACAGCAACGTCCTGTATCCGCCTCCGCTCCCTTCAGCCAATCGACGTACGAGTTGGAGGTTCTCCGCCACGTCACAATCAGGCTTTTGGGCTCTTCGAAAACATCAAAGGGGGTAACATGCGGCTTCTTGGCAGTCTGATGGAGTGGGGTGGGGGCGGGGGCAGAGACGGCCTAATTAAAGAGGAAGGGAGCAACAGCAGTTCTCTTCGACTTCGTTCCGGAAACAGAACATAACTCTCTTCGTAATCCCCAGATCAGAACCACTTACCAGCGCAGCTGCTACTATAAAAAAGTGTTTCTGGTATCTATCGCACGTGATCCAGGCTATAATGCAGTTTAGTTGTTAGGGCCATTTTCACACTACGTACAGTAGTGGCTTAAAGCGTCACCGTCGTAGTGTTAGCTCCAAAAATATTGTTGTTATATGTGATTGTCTAAGGCAGTGGTTCTCAACCTTTTTAATGCCGTGACCCCAACCGGTCGTAAGTCGAGGACTAAACCGGTCGTAAGTCGAGGACTAAACCGGTCGTAAGTCGAGGACTGCCCAACCGGTCGTAAGTCGAGGACTGTCCCTGCCCGGGAGCGCCGCGCATGCGTGGTTCCGCCCCCTGCGCCGGCCGAGGCGTAGCTGGCAAAGCGGCAGAGACAGAGCAGGCCGACCACCAGCTGACCCAGCCCAAGGGAGGTAAGGCACCCGCCGGAAAAGGGGGGAAAAATGGCGGACAAAAAAAATGGCGGACAGCCTTGCTTGGCGACCCCGTGAAATGGTCGATCGACCCCAAATGGGGTCCCGACCCACAGGTTGAGAACCACTGGTCTAAGGTATTTTGATCGCATCCTAGCATTATAGCGGGTTTGTGCTTAATTCTGAAATTTTTAATCTGGGATGCTAATATATCTGTCTCTAGTAGAGTATTTCCCTCCCTCCCCCACTGTAAACAGGCACCCGCTGAGCAGTAACAAATCAGGGTGTCACAACAAGCCATAGTAGGGCTGCTGTTTACCTGGGCACCATTTCACCTTTATACCAGGTTTGGTTTGTGCAAATACATTTTCTGTTCATAATGGACCCTAAAGTCGTCATTCTTTTGTCAGAAGAATTTCCCAGTTCGTTTCCAGCTGGGGAAAGCCGAGGATGAAGAAATTTGAGGACAACAGCAGCTACCGCAAAGCAGGTCTTTTTTACAGGAAGGCAATAAAGTGACAGAGAAGTGACTTCAGCGTTCCTGCCTTTCAAGGTGAACCCCTGGTCCCATGTGTGACTTTTTATATGCTTTTTTTACCCTGTGGCTGTGGCTGGGCTGGCTCTTTCTTTTGTGTTTTAATGGTTGCTTGATGTTCTTTTCTTTGTCCTAAGTCAAAGGTAGGCAACCTTGGCTCTTTTATGACTCGTGGACTTCAACTCCCAGAATTCCTGAGCCAGCAACGCTGGCTCAGGAATTCTGGGAGTTGAAGTCCACGAGTCATAAAAGAGCCAAGGTTGCCTACCCCTGTCCTAAGTGGTATCTCCTTTGTCCGGTTTCTATTTTGGGGGGCTTAATCCTGTCAGGGGCAGGGCAGGTAGTTCTCCTCAGGGATGTTCCCTTTGTCCTGATTCTATTTTGGGAGTTAATCCCATTGGGGCAGGGCAGGCAATTCTTGATGGCTTTGCTATCTGAGTTTTCCCATTGTTCTTGGTGGTATGCCCAGGATTTCAGAAAAAAAGGTTTTTCCAGAGAAAAAAAAAGTGTGTCTGCATGTTTTTCTAATGGGAATGAGAATATGGGAGTTTTGTCAGGGTAAATCTTCCAACAATTTAAATGCCTCTTCCTCATTATTATTGTTATTTTACAGAACTGGGGGATATCATGAGATTTTAAGTTGGCCCAGAAAATGAACAACCAGCTGGAAAGATAACTAAATCACATTAAGAAAGGCTTTTGATACTGGCAAAGCATTTTTAGAGATTTGGAAATACAAAAGCTTCTGGGGGGATTTCCCATTTCTAATAGAAGGAAGTGGACACCAGGAATTGGGAGAAGTGAAATCCTTTAATCCTGAATGAAAATCCTTCATCAGTCCTTCCTGAGAAAGGAGGTTTTAACTCAAAGAACTTTGCTGGAAAGATATTCTTCATAAAATAGCAATTATCCAACCTTGGCTAATCTTGAGAAAATTAAGCAATACGAGCCCTGTTTGCTACTTTGCACTAGACTAGGCTAAACTGGGAAGTCAGAAAATGTCCTGGAGGTGAGGAACAACAAATCATTTCCATAATGCTTCTGAGGAAATTGCAAAACTGCCATCACCAGGCATCCTACTGAGAGCATCCCTTGTTTTTTTTTAGCTGGCAACTTTTGCTTTGCAGCAGAAGCGTAAAAAAAATATCTCTGCTTTAGTGACCTTACATTTGAGATACCTCCATACATACCTCCATCCATTTAGGATATCTTAACTTATTCATGCAATGCTATGTCCTGTTATGTTTTCTTTGTCATCTTATTTCCTATGGATCTTCCTTTTCTGAGAATGCTGGATAGACATTCCAACTGAGTTCAGCACAAAAGTATAATGCAAAACTGCCAGGTATCTTTAGCATTATTATGTTGTCTTTGATGAGCATGATTGGATACTCAGACCAATGAATATTGAATTTATAGAGTTGCTTTGATGTGGTGGTTAAGGCATCAGGCTACAACCCTGCAGACTATGAGCTTTAGTCCTTCCATGGACACAAACACAGCTGTGTGACCTCAGGTAAGTCACTCTTTCTTTCAGCCTTAGGAAGGAGGCAATGGCAAACCACTTTTGGAAAAACCTTGCCAAAAAAACTTGAGGGTCTTATCCAGGAAGTCTCCAAGAATGAGACACAGTTAAACATAAGAAAAAGAATATCACATTTTAATTATACTATTAATTTTTGCAAAAAAAAAGGTAAAGGAGTCCCTGAAGATTTTTACTATGCTAGTCGTTGCCGACTATAGGGGGTGGTTCTCATCTCTGTTTCAAGGCCACTGAGCCAGTGCTGTCTGAAGACATTTCCACGGTCATGTGGCCAGCATGACGTCATGGAGTACTGATACCTTCTCACTGAAGTGGTACCTATTTATCTACTTGCATTTGTATGCTTTCAAACTGCTGGTTTGGCAGGAGCTGGGAGAAGGATTGGAGCTCACCCTGTCATGTGCTCAGATTTTGAACCTGGGCTGCCGGCTTTCCAGCCGATATGCCCAACATCTTAACCACTGAGCCACCACACCTTCCTCTAATTTTTGCAAGCCCTGTATCAAATGAAATGCAATTAAACATGTTCAGTCATCACAAAATAACACAAATTTAACTTGCTGGGTTGTATCTAAATAATGTGCCCAAAGTTTCCCCTTCGGCAGTGTTTCTCAATATCAGTAACTTTAAGACAAAGGTGTCAAACTCGCAACGTCACATGACGTGTCGCCACATATTGCGACTTTTTCCCCATTGCCGGCAATGGGGTGGGCACGGTTTCGCCATGACGCATCCAGCCCGTGGGCCGGCAGTTTGACACCCCTACTTTAAGATGTATGGACTTAAAATGTATGGCTTGCTAGCTGGAGAATTCAAGGAGTTACTCCATCCATCTTCAAATTGCTGAGGTTGAGAGACACTGCCCTAAAGGATCCTTAACTTTATGGAAATAATTTGAAAACTATGGAAGAGGGAGGGGAAATTCAGGCCACACAATATTGGATATAGCCCATTTTAGTTTAAGATAAGTTGTATTCTTTTTATTTTAGTCTGTGGAATTAACAAATTCAGTAAGCAAACCCTGACAGATTTTTGTTATAGCATAAAATTATTAATGCATACACAATAAACAAATTACAATTTATACTGACATTTCATTTGTTATGGGGTTAACTTTTTCCGTCAAGTGTTCACCTGTAGGAGATTATGACAATTTTCTTCAATACAGTTATAATTTGTTACTTTTTATAGGTAAATAGATCCCGGGACTTATTCAAAAACAACATATTTTCATCTCACCTAAGTTTTTTTTCAAGTAGACAACAATATCCAAAGATTCATCTAACTGGTATTTAATGAATTTTCTGTAGTAAGAAAAAGGATCTAGGCTTCAAGTGTAATTTTATTTAGATTTAGATTCTTTGTAAAAGTCTCTGGATGAAGCAGCACAATTGTGCAATTCCAGACTGATCCATAAGCTTTTGAAATCTCCTAGATTGAATCATATGGTCAAGATTGTCTACATGCCAAGATCATTCCTAAATTTGCCCACTGGAGGTCCTCTTGAGACTTCAGATTTAATTTTCTTCCCCAAAGGATTTTTGCCTTAAAGACTGAGTAATGTTTCATCAACAGCAGTCAACAGCATATGCAGAACCTGCAGTGACATATATCTATTTTTTCTTCTACTGGTTTATAAAATGGCGCACTTAGCCTGAATCAACTGTTCTTTGTTTACTTATTATAAAGCTTTAAGGCAATTTACCAGCTTCGGCCTGGTAAATGACAGCACTAGTGTTTATTTCTGTTATCATTACTTTTAAGATAGTCAAATTGCTTTATGTGAATTTTTATATTCATGTAGAACTCGGCCCTCAGAAAGTTTTCTGGTTGAAGATGGGCAGATCGTCTCTCTCTGCCTCAGTAATGATCAAGATTACTAGATAAGGGCTGCAGAGAGCCAGGTGACCAATAGATGGTGGAAAAGAGATAAATTCTGAATATTTTGTAGTCACCCAATTGTTATCTGATAATGCTTGAGTGCTCAGAAAGATCTTATGGCACCAATATCAACTTATTTATTTGTTAGATTAATAGTCATATTTAGTGTTTTGAGTGCCACAATATCTTTCTTGTCTTCGCTTGT